TACAATTCTGCCGTCTTCATGTGTAACGAAGTTGACGCACACGCAAATACGCTCACCCAATCAGGAGGCGTGCGTGTGTGCGGTGATGTGGGTGGGACTTGACCAGTTAATTAATTAGAAACGAGGGGGAATAAAAGAGGCCGAATTGTTATTATTGTAGCATTTATCATCATCATCATAAGCAGCAGCAGCAGCAGCAGCATTGTCATAATCGTCGTTGATGCGGCCACTGCTGCTGTCAGTATTGCCATTCTTAGTGTTACAGCTGCTTCGACTACAGAAGTTGGTGGTGGCTTCGGTGATTTGTTGAAACACCTTGCAAGTGGAAAAAGCCTCCTTTTTACTCCTATTCACTTTATCAATTAAGTGCGATTAAGCATAAAGTGAAGTGTGGAAATGACTTATTGGTGCTTCCACCATTGAGTTAGCCACTTTGACTTGTCTTCACTTCATGAAGGAGGAATCGCACAACTCTACGCCGTTGATTAACTCTTGACGTACGCGTGGATGGAATTCGCAATGTTCGTGTTCACATTTCGTTAAGGATTAATCAGCTAAAAACTTCATTCTGTTTCTGAATTCACTTACATTGTGTCCAACTGAATGAACAATTCATTCATATGAATGCTCTTGGCAGGTCGGTTTCATTCCTCTCAATTGACTTGAAGTCGTGGAACCACTTTAGCAACGGCGATAACTAGTTGCATTTTGTGACTTTAATCAATTATTAGTAATGCCTGCAGTCTTTCTGACCTGACGGAGGGTCAAAATCTTCCCACCACCAATAGTCGCATGAAAAACGATGGAAGTTTTGTTCCCAGGTGTTATATGACGACTCTCCTGTCTGGCAGGTGGGCTGCCATTACAATTTGTAACATGAATTGTCATCCTGGCATGAACTTCATCAGAATGGATAGGAGGGACCAGCAGTCCATCACACTGCTTGATCATTGCCAGGGGCGGAACTTGAACCCGTTCTGCTTGGCCACCTATACTTGGGGACAGAATTCTCCCTTCCACTATTACAAAACCTGTTAAAAGCAGTTTCGACGTACGAAGAACTGTCAGGCAGGCTGAGAAATAGTGCCGAATGAAGACGCAAAGTCAGGTAGAATAGTAGCAATTACCCATTTGTAAAAAAAGCAGTCCCAAGTAAATCTGCTTACATCCTCATTTGCCATCACAACTGATCGTTTAACTGGTAATGGACATCTCGTGGAGGCTTAAACGCATCTGATTGCTCTGCCTGGCCAAAGATCTGACTGAGAGTCAGCGGTTTCTTTCAGTGTCTTCCAAAGAGAATACCAGGCTCTAATTGAAAAGGGCTCTAAATCTGATTTGATCTCGTCTCTTTCTCTGTCCACCACCGATATGAGGCAAATGAAACCTTATTCTTTCGTCCACATTCGGGCAATTCATCTGTGCTTTGAACGAACACAGGTAGTTTTATTGGCAATAGCTTCAGCAGTAAATGCTCTACAGCAAATTCATCACTGGGCATATAATCAACGCCACATAATTCCACTTGTCGTTGTTGCTGCACTTGTTGGTGTTGCATGATTCGCCGTAGAAATGCATCGAAGTTGCGTGCACCATTCCATTATCAACTGCCATGCCAGCCGAGTCAGGGGAGGAGGTTGTGGGGTGGTAATGCATTAATTAACCTCCCGCTGGCGGTAGCAATCAGTCGGCATTCTATCATCTGCCAGTTGCTGCATCTTTAGAGAGAACGGTGCAAAATCAACGACTTAAATTGTTTACGTCAAGCTGACATCTAGTGGGAGGGGGGAGGGGAGACCCATCAGACGCGTGGCACGCGGTGAGAGTAAAGAGGTAAATCGAAATGAGGGAAGTCATCCTTATCATTTAGGCTTGGTTGCCATCACTCACATCCGCCTTGTTGTCTTCAAGGCGGCAAGGCTTGCGACAGTTGATAATGAGTGCCGGCTTTGGCACTCTTGTTTTCTCTAGTTATACTGATTACCCCGACTGCAGGAGGGGAAAGGTGAAACGGGAACGCCGAATCCACGTGCATCATGACATTGTGGAAATGCGAGGCAGGAAACCCAGGTTGCATAGTCAACATGGGAAGTCGTAGCACTTGAAGAAGAAATAGTCAAGACAGAGCAGGTAGATTTTGACATCCTGCAGCTTTCTTGTGGAAACAAGGCCTCGGTCAATCCACAAACGTTGGCTGAATCAGGTTCTGAGAAGTAGGAGTGAGGTGTCTCTTACACTATCGCCTTGGCAAAATTGTTCTTCACGGGTTGACGTAACTTCGTGAAAACTAGAAAACGTTTTCGAAGTTTGTTTAAATACTTGTTTTGCTTTCAAATTTACATCTGACTATGCGTCGACGCACGACTCATGTGTTCATGTTAGTCAACTGCAAATCCTCTGCATGGAGCCCTATAAATCCGTCTAGTTAATTAGATTTGCCTGGGAATTTCACGTCACGCCGAGCCACTGCAATCCACTCAACTTAATACTTTATATCAATTTCCATCCCTTCAAATTTGTATTGGATTCCAATTGAAACGTCGCACAATCACTCCTATTGGCTAGTTTAAAGTGACCTTGAACTAAGATGCAAAACGATGATTGGCTTGTGAATTAGCACTTCTGCTTCGTTCTGCAAAGAACGGAACTCACTGAGGTGTAATACTAGACGAGAAAATGGGAGTCTTTAGTTTATGTCTAGTAGATTTTGGAAGACTGTTATTGAATAGAAGATGGTCAAATCAGGTTATGGAAGTCACGAATGAAGTGTCCTTGGCCATATCTTTCCCGGAGAGGCATTACCATTTGAGATGACAAAAAGTACCGCAATGTCGTTCGAGTAATGTCGGTCCGACATTTGAAAGCCCTTTGTACAATTGTGCAACACTAGCGTGAGTCCATAGATAAAAGTTCATCCACCCACGGGATGGCGCTGGAGTCGACTAGACCTTGATCTACAGACGGAACGCTATCACCCTTTACTCACACCGGCGATATTGAACTTAGGAGACTGACACCATGGAATCACTGCGGTCCGGTTTTAGTATCGCACCATCCACAGCGCATATGCGGAAATGCTTTAAGCTGAGACATGGACGCGGACACGGTCAGAAGGAAATGTTAATCTCCTGCCTGTCTGCCTGTCTGTCTGCTTGCCTGCTTGCCCGTTTGCCTGTAATAGTGGAGAGGGAGAGAGGCCATAAGGACGAAACACACAAACAACTTTGACAGTTATAAATGAGTGGTAAACATACCACAGCATTTCACGATGGCCACCCAACTCCCTCCCTCCCTCCCTCCCTCCCTCCCTCCCTCCCTCCCTCCCTTTAAGACCCGCCTGTCCCCACCCCTCCCCTACCCGCCTTGCCCAGCCTTAACTTTACAACACCGCTGCCGCTGCTTCTGCTGCAGACGAAGGAGATTAATCAAGTGGAGGCTTTCTCCTTCTCCTCCTCCTCCTCCTCCTCCCCCATCTCCTCCTTCCTTCTTTCTCTCTTTGCTCCTTCTTCTACACCGCCCCTGTGCATATACAGTGTCTGTTCGTGCCCGTGCCCACACCCACACCTACAACTACACCAGCACCTACACCAGCGCCTATGCGATAACAACAAACGAATTTTCCTCCTCCTTCTAAGTGTGGCGCAGTTAGTCGTCTGCACGCGTGATTAATGACATTGACTGGGGCTGGAGGGGAGAGCACGACCTGACCACGATGTTGTTTTTGTTGTTGTAATTAATAATAATGGTGATGGTGACGATGATAAATACGTTTAGTTGTAAAGGGGGCGCGCAAAGTACTTCTCCTGTCGGTGAAGAGGGAAAGAGGTTAGTGATTAGTAGGATGTAAAATGGGATTCTTCCAATGAATGGTCTAATGCTCAGCATTACTTATTATCGTCGAGTAATTGCAAAATGACGGCATGCAGGTGACGTCCCTTCCAAATGTCTCTCTTCTCCCCCACTCCCATGCAGACTCTACTGGGGGATTTGTACCAGTTTTATTATCCACTCATTTGCAAATTCACTTCGACTTACTCGAGATGTACATTGAACCATCGTTTACCTCTCAAGTCGCCATTATTGTGTGGCTCACACTCACGGCGGACGGTGCCTGCCAAATCGCCAATCTGGGTGACGTCAGAAGTGATGGCTTCTACGAGGACATTGAGTGGTCGAATGCCCGTGAAGTGCATGCTTTCACATGCAAGTAATTGCATCCGTCATGGTGAAATAAATATGTGGTATGAGTAGAAGGAGGAGGTCTAATGACTGATCCACGTAGTCAGTAGAGAAACTCAGGTTTATGGATGGAAAGGGTTGCATGTCATTAGGGAAAGGTTGGTTGACAAGCCCTTACTATTTACCCTCACATTCTGCGTGAGTTGGGGAATGCATCCTCATCCTATTGTAACGTACCTTGTCCAGTGGATGGATAGGCGAAGTGGCGAGTTCTAAAGCTGCCACCACACATTTCGGGGTCATTACTCGTCACTTTGTGTCTACTTTGACACCGATTTCTTCGCACAATGTGAATTTTATCACCTTCCACGCCATAAGCACGACCTTACTATACTTGCCTCCCAAACCACCAATTACTGCTTTTCATGGTGACTTACCTCTCACCTCACGTGCCCCTATGTAACCACTTCGTACTGATCGAATCAGCTGTCAGAAGGGACTGACAATAAAGCAAACAAAATGTCCTAATTATTTGTGGCATAATTTTATCTTTCATTGAAGGTTAAAATAAAATAAACGGAACTCGCTACTTCTACTACTACTGCTGCTACCACTACTAGTAGCACTCCCATTGGCGATCACACATGCTTCCGCCGATGTGAATCAATCCATTTATCAAGTCAACGCTAATCATCAATGAAGAGAAGAAGGTGAGGCAGAGGAGCTTACACAACTTTAGGCAAATCAGCATCAAAGTAGTGAATGATGCTTTATCTGCTAGAAACGCAGGCCGGTACTTTAATGTGATTTACCTAGCAGTGCCTAGGATTCAAGGTGTTCACAAGCAGGTTGTCAACGTGCTTCAGTAGGATATCTACTAGCACCGCTCTGTCATGACTCGGACATTCAATAAGCAGAAATTAAAAGCGCCATCTAGAGAAGATCATTAAACGTCTACTTGTATTAATGGAAGTGCATTTTGGTGCAATGAGAGGGAATCAGGTTGTAAAATCTGAGCGTCACACATACGTGACC